AGTGCACCACTCACTCTTTTCCCCTCATCAATTCTATGATTCACCTCATCTTAATGTTTCCAGAATATGCCTAACTTTTTCTTTGACTTTGCTATATTATCCATAAGTAAGGTCCGACACACTACTACCTGACCTCCTAGCTGAATGTCACACCTGTGGTGCATACTCTGTTTTTAACTTATTACATCAATTGAATGTTTAATTTCCCTCTTGCACTTTCCCCTATCCTGGAACACTCCTGCTCTTCACTCCATCACCTCTGCACATTCCTACCCTTTCAGGTTTAGTGCTTAATTTGCTTATCATCTACAAGTAAAAGTAATTCTCAACATTTCAATAACAGTATCTCTTACACATTCAAGATCTCATGGGTATCAAAGCCTTACTTCTGTGTGACATACTATGTGCACAACCTCCCACACAAGCAAGAATACACATACAGGCATGTACATATCCCACATATGTATGTACACTTATATTATTACCACTTCTCTCTACCTTCATGAAGGCAGGAAGACAATACTGGAAACAATACATTATTGCTCCACACTCATAGGTCCTCCCCTTTCTTTTTTATTTTAAAATATACAACTACCTTATTATTATGCTTCATTTGGTGTCAGTTCTCTCAACATTTCATTCTATTAGAACATTTGACTGCAACATGATATAGGAAAGCTAATTCACATCCCTTTAATTTATAAATGGAGTGCAATCTTAAACTGGATCTGAAAGCCTATGTAATTATAAGAAATATAATACTCTTAAAATAGGAACTCTTCATGTGATACTCTTTGGCTCGACCTCTCCAAATTAAACTGTAGTATCAACATTATATTAAGCTTCTGAATAAAGTTAATTTTCTCAGGTCTGCAAACATTGCAACAGATATTGTATTACTATGCAAATACATGTACTGTTGCCTATTTTGTAGTGTCTAATTTCAAAATATAATCAGCAAAATTATAATAGTGAAAAATACATTAATGAGAATTTAAAGTATATTAAGCTTGGTGTGCACTAACTACAACACAAACAACAAAAAAAACTAATGTATTCCAATATTCTAACTACTATTCTAACTAGTACATTGCCAAAAATAGTTTTAGTTCTCCAGTTTAATAAAGATTTTCAAAATTGTCCTATCTAAAGCAGGATAGTAATTTGAGCAAATCACCAAGAAACAGAGATCCTCAGGAATTCCTGATGGTGGTAAGACATCAGTCTGGGTAAAGTGAATACTGTGTAGTACAAGATTATAAAGACAATAGCTTAATAGTCTACAACAGGGATGCACAACCTGTGGCCAGCGGGTTGCACGCTGCTGAAGTAAGACGACTGTGGCACGTATACATGTAAAAAAAAAAAAAAAAAAAAAAAAAAAAAAAAAAAAGCAAACCACCACTGACTTGTGATACCGAATGCCTCCCATTGGCTTGACTCAGTTTTATGAACTGTACACTGCATAGCTTATTTTTCAGTAACTAAAATTTGGTAACTGAGAACGATGTGCATCCCTGTGCTATAATGACAACACACATGCACATGTATTATTTCCTTCACATAAATCTACCTATCTGAAGTGAGACCAATGACAACTGCACATGCAGAGCATCATGAACAAGTTTAGTATGCCCACATCTTATATATGAAAAACTAGTGTATATAGAATATTATATTCACCAAACTGCATTAAACACTTATGGGTCATATAGCATTACAAAATTAATGTGTAATATGTAAGTTAATGTCAGTGGAAAGCAGCACACTTCAACTATTATCGTTACTGGTATTGCCTATAACACAGCATACCTACAGAATAGACATTAATCTTATTTTTGGAATGTAATGTATATGCAAATATAAAACTATTAAATTATAATGTTAAACCTGTGTACAGATGTATATACTAAAATTAACTTTGATTTATATATGCATTGCCCCTGCAAATGTACATTTGAATATCCAAAGTGTCGCAAATATTTAACTAGTTACTATTTTGCAATTATTTTTATTGTTAATAAGTAAACATTATTAAGGAAAGTGATACACTGCAATTAATAACAGTAACTCTGAGACTTCAAACTTTGCTGACTCAAAATAATGATGGCTACAAAACTTATGATCACTCTGTAAGACATTTACAGAAATTGCAATTTTGATACAAATTTTGTACATAATTATTAATTTCACTGAGAATTGTCCATACTGCAGCTATACATCTGTCAGTGATACTGTCACATAATATAAGCATTTCACTCATTTACTTTGCAATATTGTTATACGCTTCCAAACACAATATCTGAAAAGCAAAAATTATCAAGTTTTTAACGTTACACAATAAAAACGAATGCCGGTAGCCAACGGGAAGATTTCACCTTGGTGTTCTTTTAGGATTAAGCTGTGAAATTTTAAAATTACACTCAAACCTGAAACAAACTGCATAGCATAAATTACTTTCCCCTACCATGTCCTAAACTCAAAGAACTAGGTGGGGAGGCAGCACAACAGAGGGGGGGGGGGTCAACATGAGCAAGGTTGCATTGAGTGTGTGAGTTTTGCAAAGGTGTACACTGTATTAATCTCCATAGGACACTTTCTACTTGCCACCCACTTGGGTAACGTGATGAAGTGCTTTGGATATACAGTACTGTAGTTCAACGCATGTGAGTATACCTAAAACTGTAGTACTATCAGCATGCCTCTGGCAAGACAGTGATGGAGTGAGTGATGATGAAAGTGTTTCTTCTTTTTTGGGTCACCCCGCCTCAGTGGGAAATGGCTAATGTGTTTAAACAATATAGTATCTAGATATAGGAAGAGGTTTTTTCATGACTGGTCATGACCTCCTGTGTTCCAGTGAACAGTGCAGTCTACCACTGCCATCATCACAAACTTTAGCAGGCTATTCAAAACTTATTTCTATTACCTTGGTGCCAATAAAGGGATCTTGATCCGAGGAATTGTAGCTGCCCTCCCCTTTGGATCAACCCTAATTGCTTTCCACACTCAACACAATGTATGACCCTTAAGGATTTAGCACTTCCACATAAATATAATCCTGTGATTCTTACATAAACAACTTCCTTTTCAAGGCATGAAAATATGCATCTCCAGTTTGATAATAAACCAACCTAAATGGTTTCATTTTTTTCTAATTTAAATGACTAAATTAATTTAACAAAAAAACAGGAGAGTGAAAGAGAGAGAATACAGATTGGTAATGTGGCCTAGAAAGCAAAATTACTTGCAATATCAGCAAGTCCCATAGAGTTTTTAATTATATAAAAAGCAAGAAAAAATCTAAATGATAAGAGCACCTCTAACAGACATAGATGGTACAATGATGAGTATCATTAAAGGTATGGGTGGCCTCAATACAACTTTAAGATTGGTCTTCAAATCTGAACACAAAATCAACATACCTAGGTTATAGACAGTAACTTCTTTGCAAGAAATTAATTGACCCCCTGAGTATCAGTGAACTCGCCACTAAAACCACAATAAAGTACCTGGAACAGTTTAACATTAACAGTCCACAAAGCCAGACAAAATATTGGCTACAATACTACAAGGATCGATTTCAAATTACACGCCCATTAACAGTCGTGCTCAATAAGTCAAGTGAAGGCAACATACCACATGACTGGAAACTAGCTAAGATTACCACAATATTCAAAAAGGGAGATAGATCATGCCTCCTCAATTAGCATCTTAACAGTTTAAGATCAATTATGGGTAAAATAACAGAAGTCATAATACTAAGGACAACACTGTTAACTGTTAGCAGCCATGTTGATTTATGTTAAAGAATCTTGCCTAACAAACTTATTGAAGTTTTTTTGGCTACATTTACAAAAATTGGGATGATAGTCTTGAGAGATGTAGTGTACCTCAACTTAAAGAAGGCAACTGATAAAGGCAAAGGCATAAGAGACAATCTCCAGAACTGGATCAGTGATTACCTCAATGATGGGACACACTGAGTAGTTTTAAATGGTGAAGTGTTTAAGAAGAAAAATGTGACAAGTGGGATCCCTCAAGTCAGTCCTTAATGGGGAGTAGTGAAGTTTAAGAGCCAGAAAATGTGCAAAATAAAAATCATAGTTGGTGCAAAGGGCAGGTTTCATTTAGAAAGACATAAGAGTAAGTCTTCTCCATGGGGAGGTGGAACAGAATTCTTCCTCCATAAGCCATGCGTGTCATAAGAGGCGACTAAAATGCTAAGAGCAAGGGGCCACCCTGCCTCAGCGGGATGTGGCCGGTTTGTCGAAAGAAGAAAGATGAAGAGTAAGTTTGCTTCAAAAGTGAGACTTTCCGTAAGAAGGATAGTGAGCAAATCCGATTTCTGTAGGTGTCAATAGTGTGTAGTCTGCATGCCCTCTGAAATATAGGACGGCTGATTGACATGATGAAGAGAGAAAAGATCAGCGATCCTGCCAGAGTGCAAAACATTTAAGTCTACTGTGTCACACTCACAGCAAGATGGCAATATCTCCCCGGATGATTGCCATTTACCAACATAATCTTTAGCCAACGTGCCTTTCCACCATTTATTTCTGAGACTAGAAGTATCTCTAAGGCAAAATACCTGATCTTATGATACTCGAATCAAATGCTAAAATCACTAATCTCTAAAATAGTTTTTCCTAAGTAAAAAAAAAAAAAAATCTGTTGTGTGGATACTGCTAGTTAAAGTGATGTATGTATAATAAATATAAATTCAATATCTTATTGCCTTTGACTCGTGAAATATATTGAGTATTCGATAAAAAAAATTATCAGGTGCTGAGCTCAGTTTTAGCTGCAGTACTGCTTACTAGATACATAATCCAACAATTCCATTATAACCTACAATTAGTCGTATTATAGTCTGTTAGTATTTAGCTCTAGACTGTTACTGCATACATAACAACAATTTTTAAGCTACAACTTAGTGTATTACTGTCATACAAACCTGATTTGTACAAATTGTTGTTGCTCACCCGAATAACCAACTTAGCTGTATTATTACATTCTGTATACACAAGACAACTTGAAGTTTTAGTGTCAGGGTAAGAGTTGTGGAAGAGGTGGTAAAATGAACCTAATAACATGAAGTACTTCCTCTTCCATTTTTTTAGAAAAAAATATTACTGATTCTCTATCTTTCGAGTTTTTTATGTGTACTGTAGATATTAAATAATTACCATAATGTTAATCATAAGCTACTCTCTACAAATGCTACAAGGATAATTTATGAGACTACCTAAATACTATAGCTGGTTTGGGTAACTGCAAAATCACATACACGTTCTCTAGACATAAACATATTCATTGCATATCTAAGTTTACCTAACATGCCAATATGGCTTACATTGAATTTCCTTTTACACAAAATTCTATTTTCTTAAGCTTACATCCATTATAACAGTAGCTTCTACGCAGCAAAGTTTCTGAGATCAAGCGAGAAGCCTCACAACTCAAAGCATGGAGTGGTGTAAACAAAGTGTTTTCTAATTTGGACCTAAAGAACAAAAAGTCACAATAACATGACTGGAAGAATACACAAATAATCCACACATAGGAGAGAGAGAAGCTTATGACAAAGTTTTGGTCCGACTTGTAAATGATGTGACTTGTAAATGGTCTAAGTCGGACCAAAAAAATTGTCATAAGCTTCTCTTTGCTATATGCAGGTTATTTTTGTATAATCTGGACTTGTAAATCAGTATAAAACATCTTGGCCTTCCAACACATTTATCACAAACATTACTCAGCTAGTTATAAATGATTTTCTCCAAAATGTAATAAACTTCTAGTACAAAATGGTGAAGAAAATAGCTGCAAACCTTTCTTGAATCAAGATGAGTAGTTTTTGAATCCAGGTCACAGATGCATGAAGATACATTCCTAGGATAAGTTTTTCAGAGCTGCATGAATTCTTACATTAAGGCGATTTTCAAAGTCATACCCATGGTAGTTATCTCTTACATCTTCCAGGCACTTCCTGCCTTCTTCTAATGTCTGAAAGAAAAAACTGAGTGTAGAATCTCTGTGATATTGGATAGTTAAGTACAATGATTTCTCCCCTAGCTGGACTAATTCATGCTCAGAGGTGCCCAAAGTTATCCCCTTCTCTTGTATAAATTACTATATGTAAAGAAAAACTTTTGTTTTTCCCTTTAGGTCACCCTGCCTCAGCAGGAGACAGCTGGTGCACTGAAAAAAAGTGCCCAAAGTGCATAAAAATCATGAAAGTATTTAAATATGACTACTTGACGAATACTGCACAATGACTATTGGTACTAAATCTTTTATTACCACCAAAAATGAAAACATAAAATATTTTGTCTCTTCACTAATTACCTCATCACTAGCACCCAGGAGGAGACCTAACTCATACAATGCAAAGGCCGGAACACACAGTTCTTCAGGGTTGAGGAGTCCATGCTGCACACTAAGGCGAAAGTGTTCAACAGCATCGTCTACAGAACCCAGAGTGTCGAGGATAGCTGCCACAATCAAATGTCGAAGACCTTCATGGTCTCCACAGTCCTCCATTGTCTGGCACTCTGAAACAGTTTAGAGAAAAGCATTACAAACTTCATTCAATACACAAATAACCCGCACATAGAAGAGAGGAGCTTACAACGTTTCAGTCTGACTTGGACCATTTACAGAGTCACACTAACAAAAAGGAGAGAAGGAGGGAGTATACATAGGCCAGCAGACAGGGACAGGAGCAAAAAAGGTAGTAATGGAGGTGGTAGTAGTAATGGTAGTGGTGTCAGTCAAATATTAAGAAAGAGGAGCACTGCAAGGGAGCTAGGGACCCACAGAGGATAGGAGCAAGAATACAGAGAGGGGGGGGAAGAAAGAAGAAAGAAAGCCCAAAGGAGAAAGAGGAAAGGGGAAGAGGGAGAGGGAGAAAGGGAAAAAAGAATCAGGTTAAGTCATGGGTGTTCTGAAGTTTGGAGCATTTTTACAATATAATGGGAAAGGAAGGCATCTACAGAGACAGAGCTATTTGGTTGAATCTACAGCTAGGCTGTGGTTTGTACGTTGGACTATGTGCAGCCATCAGTAACAGGCCCTGATCCACCAGGAGGCCTGGTCATGGACCAGGCCGCAGGGGCATTGATCCCCGGGATGCCCTCCAGGTAGACACAATTTTCCTTGTATGAATCTTAGTCCTGGCTTTGTATCTGTAGGTGCCTTCCTTTCCCATTATACACGTATTGTAAAATGCTCCAAGCTCCAAAAACCCCCTGACTTAAAATGATTCTTTTTTCCCGTTCTCCCTCTTCCCTTTCCTCTTTCCCCTTTTGGGGTTTTTCTTTCTTCTGCTTGGGTATTTATCCTTTTTTTTTTTTCCCCTCTGTGTTTTGCCCCACCTTCTGTGGGCCCTAGCTCCCTTGCAGTGCTCCTCTTTTTTGATCTGAATCCAAATATACTACTACTACCCCACTACTACCTCTCTTGCTCCCTTTCCTGTTGCTGGCTATATTTACTCCCTCCTTCTTCCTTTTTTTTTGTGCTTTGTAAATGGCCCAAATCAGACCAAAACGTCGTTGAACTCCTCTCTTCATGTTTGGGGTTATTTGCGTATTGTTCCAGTCATGGTATTGTGCCTTTTTTGTTAACTTCATTTAAGTTTACATGGATTTCAAGAAATAAAGTATGCAAAGTAATGTATTGTAATGAGAAAGAGGAGGAGGCTAATACTAAGTCATTTGCACTTTTTTTTTTTTTTTTTTTTTTTACAAAATTTAAAAAGGGTTGAACCCTAAGGGAAAGGTTCCTTGATGTTGGTGAGGGGTTTGATTTAGGGAATTGGATCTGTGCTCCAGTTCCTCGAATTAAGCCTGAATGCCTTCCAAATCCCCCCCAGGCGCTGTATAATCCTCCGGGTTTAGTGCTTCCCCCTTGATTATAATAATAATAAAAAGGGGTTAAAATATACTGATGAATTAATTTTTTGAGTTTGTCTCCATGTGGGTTATTACTGAGCATTGACAAATGTTCATTACACTTTTGTTATTCATTAAAGAAAAAGAGACCAAAACCCCTTTATTTTATCCCCTTCTAAAGTATTTTTGCCACAATTCATTAGCATTAACTTTCCATACAAATGTTGTGCCTCTATCAAAACCACATAAGATTACCCTTTTCCTCTTGTTCCTATTATTTTTTATACTCGCAATATCCCCTGTCATTCACCTATAAAACTGTAAACACAAAAAAGACACGTCTCAATGGTTCCAACTCTACAAAGTTCACACAAATTTTAACTGGCACAATTTTTTTTTTCAATCATCTGGCAAAGTTTACTTTCCAGGCCCTTGGAAGAATGCTCCAGATTTATTTTTTTACTTTTCCTTTAAAAACTGGTTCAAAACAATAAATTTTTCAAAGTTTCAGCTCTAAACATGTAGAATTTGTACCCCCCTTTACAATATGGTCCCCCATCCCTTTACCAAAATTCTGAAATTTAAAAAGTTCGAAAAAATGAAGTTTTTTTGTGGAGTTTGGGTGTCGTCATTCTACATAACTCCAACACCGCCTGTGGGAGTGTGACCCAAAGCTGACGCAGAGGGCAGGCGTCAGTTGTCTCTCAGAGCTTGTGTGTTACCGCGTGGTTGCTGTTGGTGATGTTTTTTTTTTGCTTTTTTTTTTTGTGGCTGTGAAAAAAGTCAAGGAAAAGTGCAGATACCCCCCATGGGCAACAGTGAGAAAAAAAAAAAGGAAGCATCTGACTTATCAATAATGCAGAAAGAGAGTTACACAGAAGCTGATCGTGGTGTGTCTGTGCGGTGTCTTAGTGAAAAAGTCCCCATGATATGGGAAAATGTGTGATCAGTTAATTGTGGCCTTGAACAACGTGCATTTATAGTTAGCAAAAATTTTGGTAATTTTTCAGTTTGGAGAGATGCTTGACAAAACCTTGTTAATAAGAGAGATGAACTTTTAAGAAAATTTTAAAAACGCAGTTGTCAAATTTTCTTTGGAAACACGTTCCCGGTCTATAATTATCCCAATATTTCATTTATCAATATATTACTTTATAAATAAACTGCAGCAGTATTTGTAGTTTTTATTTATCCTACTTAGTGTTAGTATTCATATGTTTGTGCTGCAGTGTTATTGTTGGATTATGAGGTGCTGCCCTAGACCCCACCTTCATTCTGAAATTCAAAACACTACTGGCCCCTAGGGATTTGGATAAAGAGATGTGGACCTGTATATATTTAAATTTTCAAAAATTTCTTCAGAAAGTCTGTGCTTCATAACTCCCATTTTAGTATTCTAGAAAATTAATTGGTAGACGGTATAAAATAAATTCTCCATGGGGAAGTGTGTGTCATAAAAGGCAACTAAAATGCTAGGAGGAAGGGGGTAGTAACCCCTTCATCTGTATACAATACAGGTTGACCATTACTAATCTGGCATCACTGGGACCTGCAGGGTGCCAGATTACAGAATGGTTAGGTTAGAATACACTTAACCCAACAGCAATATTTACGCATCGGCGATTTCACCCACTTCACGCCCTATATTTGGCCCATTCCATTGTTCCATAGTATTCCTTCTATTCTTTCAAGCGAGTACAAGAAACCGCACATTTACCTATTTCAACTACCCAATAAAGTGGTCAGAAATTGGTAATTTGGCCAATTTCACACAAATTTCAAGAGATGCCAGTTTCAAAATAGGGTTCAGAATAATCAATGTAGATATTCCTAGCACTAAAATAACATTTTCTCTGTTCATTAGTCTTGTCTCCAGGCCCCTCTTTGAATTTTTATTCACACAAAAAATAGAAGATTTGCTGTTATTCAGACTTCTGCATTATTGTAATAATTGTATAAATAATATCAACCCATTCGTGACTGTGTAGACCAGCCAGTTGGACATGTATTGGATGGTGACATCACTTGTTTACTCTTGAACATTGGCAAAAATCAAACATTTACACTACTTCGAGCTCAGTTTTAAGGTACAGTGGAACCTCAGTTTTCATATGCCCTAGTTTGTATATAAAACTATAGTTATTCTCTCTAAAATGTATTTTTTGTTAATATTTCCCATAAGAAATAATGTAAATCCAATTAATCCGTTCCAAACACCCAAAAATACTATTATCCAAAAATACATTTTATAGAAAATAACAATAGTTTTCCTAGGTAGTAGGTTGGTAGACAGCAACCACCCAGGGAGGTACTACCGTCTTGCCAAGTGAGTGTAAAACGAAAGCCTGTAATTGTTTTACATGATGGTAGGATTGTTGGTGTCCTTTTTTCTGTCTCAAAAACATGCAAGATTTCAGGCACGTCTTGCTACTTCTACTTACACTTAGGTCACACTACACATACATTTTTTTTTTTTTTTTTTCAACAAGTTGGTCGTCTCCCACCGAGGCAGGGTGACCCAAAAAAGAAAGAAAATCCCCAAAAAGAAAATACTTTCATCATCATTCAACACTTTCACCACACTCACACATTATCACTGCTTTTGCAGAGGTGCTCAGAATACAACAGTTTAGAAGCATATACGTATAAAGATACACAACATATCCCTCCAAACTGCCAATATACAAGCATATATATACACACACCCCTCTGGGTTTTCTGCTATTTTCTTTCTAGTTCTTGTTCTTGTTTATTTCCTCTTATCTCCATGGGGAAGTGGAACAGAATTCTTCCTCCGTAAGCCATGCGTGCTGTAAGAGGCAACTAAAATGCCGGAAGCAAGGGGCTAGTAACCCCTTCTCCTGTTTATATTACTAAATGTAAAAGGAGAAACTTTCGTTTTTCCTTTTGGGCCACCCCGCCTCGGTGGGATACGGCCGGTGTGTTGAAAGAAGAACTATAGTTTTAGTAGGATGACATGGAGAGCGTATAAATCTGTAGGGAAAGGAAGGCGGGGTAGGGGTCGTCCTCGAAAAGGTTGGAGGGAGGGGGTAAAGGAGGTTTTGTGGGCGAGGGGCTTGGACTTTCAGCAAGCATGTATGAGCATGTTAGATAGGAGTGAATGGAGACGAATGGTATTTGGGACCTGACGATCTGTTGGTGTGTGAGCAGGGTAATATTTAGCGAAGAGTTTCAGGGAAACTGTTATTTTTATATAGCCGGACTTGAGTACTGGAAATGGGAAGTACAATGCCTGCACTTTAAAGGAGGGGTTTGGGATACTGGCAGTTTGGAGGGATATGTTGTGTATCTTTATATGTATATGCATCTAAACTGTTGTGTTCTGGGCACCTCTGCAAAAGCAGTGATTATGTATGAGTGAGGTGAAAGTGTTGAATGATGATGAAAGTATTTTCTTTTTTTTTTGGGTCACCCTGCCTCGGTGGGAGACTTCCGACTTGTTTAAAAAAAAAAAAAAAAACTATTTTTAAACATACAAATTAGGCATACAAAAACCAGGTTCCACTGTACTTTCCAGTGTGAACCCAATCAAAATTACATCTATTTCTGGTAATATATCTTCCATTCTATCAAATGATACCAAAAAGACGAGAATACAACCATAAAAACCATACGAAAATACACCAGTCGTTTTCACACCAAAAGCAGTCACCGTTTTTTCTCATTAAGCACTGCATGGTGCAGAATTTTTTTTATGTAGTGCACACTTACCACACAGGCCTATTCTCTCATATGTAGGCCCAAATTTACGGTCACAGCTTATCTGAGTGAGCCGAGCTCATGGCGACCGACAGCGGCTTCAAAGCCACCTTATCTTTTATGGACAATGTACGGTGTATGTACTTTACACAATGAAAAGCATTTCTTTTATTTGTTGGAACCATGGCTAGGGTTAAAAGTGAGCAGATTATAACAATAAATGGAGAAAAAGAAATTGGAATGACTTATGCAGCAAGTAGTATCACCAAACAGTAGCGGCAGTTTGGTGTGGCGACCCTAGAAATTTGAAATTATGCTAGCTGAAATTTGTGCTGGATTACGATGGAACCAGATTACCAATTGCCAGATTATGATGACCAACTGTACTAAATTTAAAAGAGACACTTTGTTTTTTTTTAGATCACCCTGCCTCGGTGGGATGCAGCCGGTTCGTTGAAAAAATAAAAAACTAAATACAGTGTATCATTGGGTGTCTGCTGGAAGAGGGTAGGGTAAGGGGGGGGTCAGTTGTCCCTATGCTAGATTAGGCCTGTTTTAAGGGAAAATAACCACAGTGATGGCTTGCCTATCCCCTTGCTCCTTCTTGGAAACCCTTGCTCCTCCTGGAAATCCTTGCTCCTCCTGGAAAGGTTCCAAGGAATACCCATGCATACCTACCTTCAACCATCTGCAAGCGATGCTGTAAAGAACAGGAGGAGAGAGCATTCCACATGTACAGAAGCTCATAGGCACGTAGAAGACAGCAGTTCTTGGTTAAAGTTTCACTTTTGGCCTGGAATATGTAAACAAAATTAAAATGTGCTGTGTATAGATAGAAAAAAGTATACACTTGGGTATTCAACCTAGGTGAACCTCGTATAATTAGGCCATATTATCAAAGTAAATAAAAAACAAGCATAGTACTTATTAAGTTCCCCTCCCTTTTCTGTTTGCCTTTATGGAGGTAAAAGAGGAAATGTATTAGAGTGCAGAGGTAACAATGCTTTTATGTTGGTGTGAAGTATGGACTGTAAAACACTAATGAGACAAAGACGGGAGGCAATGTATGGTGTGAGTACTGTGCAGACTTTGGAGTGTACAAATTAAAAGAAAGTGTAGGGGTTCAAAATATAATTCAGAGGGCTGATGATGGATTGCTGAGGCATCTAGAGGCTGGAGAAGAGTAAGATGACCAGGGTGTATAAATACATACTGAGTGGAAGGAGGGATGAGGGTCATCCAAAGAAAGGTTGGAGAGATGAGTAAAGATAAAAGAGGGTTATCCAAAAAAGGGTTGGGGGGATGGGGGTTTCATCTAAAGAAAGGTTGGAGAGATGAGAGTCATCCAAAGGGTTGGAGGAATGAGGGTTATCCAAAGAAGGGTTGGAGGGATGAGGGTCATCCAAAGAAGGGTTGGAGGGATGAGGGTCATCCAAAGAAGGGTTGGAGAGATGAGGGTCATCCAAAGAAGGGTTGGAGGGAAGAGGGTCATCCAAAAAAGGGTTGGAGGGAAGGGGTAAAAGAGGTTTCGAGTGCTTGGGGCATGAGCATCCAACAGGCTTGGGTAAGCATGTTAGATCGATGGAGACAAGCAGGTTTTATGTTTGACATGCTGTTGGAGAGTGAGCAAGATAACACTTACATAAGAAGGGATTCAGAGAAATTAATTAGCCAGACTTGAGCTCTGGAGGTGAAAAGTATAGTGCCTGAACTGTGAAGAGTTGTGGAGATACTACGGTTTGGAGTGTTTCTTGAATTACTTTGTCTGTGCTCTTCTGGTAAGATAGCTATTGAGTGAATGATGTTGAATGTGTGTCCTTTTTGGGGGTCACCCTACCCTGGGGGAGACAGCTGGTATGTTAAAAAATGTACAAATTTACATAAATACACTCACAAACACTGCCAATCACCCCTCCCCCAATTATACTAATTATACATGCTACTTGTCAACACCCCCATCATGTTACCTTCCACTCATGCTAACACACCAGCTAGATCTTTCAATCACTACTCATTATGTATCAAAGACAAACTACACCTCAGAGCTATAGCTCTGTTACCTACCTACTACTACTCACACACCACTACAAAATATTACAAGCATCAGTCCAGATGCTTGTAATATTAGCCATATTAACCCTTAAACTATCCAAATGTAGATCTACGTTTGCTCGTGTAGTGCTTTGAACACAGATCTAAGTTTTTTTACATGCTTTCTTATGGAGAAAAATCAAGGTCGGAGCACTACGCGCAAAAATGTAGATCTACGTTTGGACAGTTTAAGGTTTAAAAAAAAAAGCAATTCTATACACTCATACCAACAAAGTAGTACAAACCTGAACTATAAACCCAAGGCTCAATTTGACATTCTTTATTCCTTTGCCCTCACCTTCCATCCCACAACCCATAGCCCACCTTTCCTCTCATCCTTCTCGCTCTCCCATATTCCTCACACATCTATCCATTCTGCAAAAATGTGCTTTGATGGTTATGAAAGGTTTAAAGTAACTAGAGCTGCCCTTACTTCTGACCAGATCAAATTATACCCTAAACCCAACTCCTTTCATTACTCAGGCACCTTTATGAGTTAGCACTTTTTAATATAATAATCATAAAAGTGAATGAATGATGGTGAGTGTACATCATTCTTTGGGTTATCTTCCATTAGTGGGAATTGGCCAGCGTGTTAAGACAATAGTAATGTTTTTTTAACTATTTAATTTTTCATGTGTCGAGGATAGAAACATTGAGGTCAGTGCTTTCTCAAACAGTTGTTGACAGCCCCTATGAGGACCCTGAGTGGGGGGGTAACCATTATATTGGCTGGTTGTATGGCAGGTAGAATGAGAAACACTGATCTATCTTACTGACATAAATTCCAAATAATTTACAGTTCTTTACATTATTACTTTTTGCCTCTTGTTTGCTGGTCATACCTTGAGTGCCCGACGCATCAAGAATGCCTCTAGAGCGTGACTGGAGCGGCGGACGAGGGTTGGAACTTCCATCATCCCTTTCACACACTCTTCTAATTTACCTGATGCTCCTAGACACACTGAGGGAAATACAGTGTTAAGGTGTTACACTAAGCTATACTGCACAGTAGATCGCAATACATTAAAAAGCTTAACCATCAAATACGGTAAACAATAAGCTTAAAAACTAGTTGTATTCCAGATGTTTAAACTTACAAACAAGTTGTTGCCATAGAAACCTGGTATAAATAATGGCTGTTTCATACAACTGTACTGCATATTGGCAGTTGTAAAAATTTAATTAGTTCCTAAGTGTACAGTTTGCAAGTGCAGAGTTTTGTAGCTTAGGCAGCTATTGTACACACAGTTCTTGTCAGCTAAAATGTATAAAAACTGAGTAACAGAATTTAATCAATTTGTTTCATTAATCATTCCTTATTCCTTCTTTATAATTTAATAAAGACAAATTAAATCTGAGATGCACTCAAGACTTTTATGATGACTCGCGAAATTGTATAAACACGATTACAAAAAAAACAAAAAACAGAATGGGTGGGGTTAGAACCCATGGCAAGTGAGTGGTTAAACTCCAGGCCAGTGTGTAAACCACTGGGCCAGCTGGCCACAGTAAGATTCATTCAACTAGGTATATTTATACACCTACTATATTGTAAAAATGCCCGCATAGTTTCAAGGGTTGTTCCCTAGAGTGTAACTTTTGAATACCTGATCTTTGATCAACTTCTCAAGTAATGTACATCACTGTTTTTCATGACGTAAAATTTTTTCATGAAAAATAGCAGAGCACTTTCGGAGTTTTTTTTTTTTTTTAAACAAGTCGGCCGTCTCCCACCGAGGCAGGGTGACCCAAAAAGAAAGAAAATACTTTCATCATCATTCAACACTTTCACCTCACTCACACATAATCAATGTTTTTGCAGAGGTGCTCAGAATACAACAGTTTAGAAGCATATACATATAAAGATACATAACATATCCCTCCAAACTGCCAATATCCCAAAACCCTCCTTTAAAGTGCAGGCATTGTACTTCCCATTTCCAGGACTCAAGTCCGGCTATATAAAAATAACCAGTTATCCTGAATCCCTTCACTAAATATTACCCTGCTTACACTCCAACAGCTCGTCAGGTCCCAAATACCATTCGTCTCCATTCACTCCTATCTAACATGCTCACGCACGCTTGCTGGAAGTCCAAGCCCCTCACCCACAAAACCTCCTTTACCCCCTCCCTCCAACCTTTTTGAGAACGACCCCTTACCCCGCCTTCCTTCCCCTACAGATTTAAATACCTCGAAATGCATTCAACTTTGACCCAAATTCTCTCTAAATGACCAAACCCCCTAAACAACCCCTCTTCACCCTCTGACAAAACCCTTTTTTAAAAACTCCACACCTTCTCCTAATTTCCCCCACCCCCCCCTCCAAATTTTTTCGCATAATTTTTTACACCGCACACTGCCTCCTCACTGCAGCTTTTTACCCCCAAAGGGCTTAAACCCATATAAAAAAGTGTTATTACTCCCAAAATTTTTTCAAACATTCCCTTTTTTTGCCTCCACATTTTTCCTAAATGCCCCCATCGCCTTTTTTTTCTTCATCTTTTCCCTATTTTTAACCCCAATTTCATAAATCCATCCCTGACACGCCCAACTCCCAAATATCGGAAAACATTCACTTTTTCCTTTTTTTTTTTAAACTCCCCCCCCCAAATTTTGAATCCTTTTTTTCTTATCTAAACTTTATACCCTCATCCACCTTCCCCTTTTTCTATGTTCACTTTAAATTTTTCTCCCTTTTCCACACCCCCCAAAATCGTCCCCAAACCCTTTTTTGCAATTTTTTTTTAAATCCCCATAAGCCTATAAATCAAAAAAAGTCTTCTTTTTCAAACACCCCTTTGGGGTATCCCACCGGGGTTGGGGGGCCCAAAAAGGGAAAAACAAATTTTCTTTTTTACATTTAGAAATTTTAACAGGAAAGGTTACTGGGCCCCTTGCCCCCGGGCATTTTAGTCGCCCTCTTCCCAACACGCAGGGCTTACGGAGGAAGAATTCGTTCCACTTTCCCATGGAAATCAGCAAAAATTAATTTTGTGAAATTTCCCATTTTGAAATTTGTTTTTCCCCATAATTTAATCCCCCCCCCTCTCCCAACACCCAGCATTTATTTCCCTTTTACAACCCCTTTTATAAATATATTAAACAACCTTTGGTTGGATCTATGGTTTTTTAGAAATTTTTTAAATTTGCTTTTTGCTCGAAATGCACTGCATGCTAGTACTTTCTTTTGTGCTTAACAATTTTTTTATTACATGTAAACTAATTAATTGTATACGGGCATCAAAGAAATAAAGTTTCTGAATTCAAAACAAAAAAAATTACTCATGTAATTAGCCCCTTCCCCATATGTTTAACTTTAAAATCTTTTTACCCAACCACCACTGCGCCTGAAGTAAGTAAATTAAAAACGAAAAAGTTTTTAAAACATAAGCTTTTGCCACACCTTACTTTAAAATTTTAAATTTATATTATGCATCCACTTCATCCAACTCTGTCGTGTCCATTTAAATGAAGCTACGTCCCCACATAACCAACATACCACAGTTTAAAAGGCATAAAAAGCTTTTGGGAACCAATCTAGATTCCTCTGGGGTTAGAAAAGGGCCCAATTTGGGGCAGACCCATTTAACTGTAAAGGTGGCCCCCGGCTACCTCATGTAGGGCCACCCAGCTGCACCCTCTCTCTGGGGAGACCCCTTGTGGGGCCCCCGGGTAAGAATCGGGGCCCCACGATGTCACCCTGAGGAAATACACTTCCCGTTTTACTGAATTACAGTAGTTCATCTCCAAACAAAAAAAGCAACAAACAGAACTCTCATATCTATACTCGAATGACAAAGAGTTTCTGCTCTCCATTTTATTATCTTTGCAAAAAAATTAATCATTATCGGCTCTCTGTATGTGATTTTTTTAACCTGTCCCAAATTTCTAACTCTTTTTACTCTATATGTTTAAAGGGCAATTTCTCAACATACCCCTTAAAAAGGCTGGGTTAACATCTTTCACAAAATTCAACATCTACCAAAAAAATGCATAAAAACCCCAAAGTCAATACTGTTTTCCCGATGAAAAAAAACAAGGCAGAGGAAGAACAGAAAAAACCCGGGAGTTAAAAATTTGGGTGACAATGAATTTAATGGTGATTCTAAATTAAAAAATAAAAAGACCAACAACTGTTAAGGGGGGCTAGCTGAGTTTTTTGGAAAATTATCCCTCAAACAACAAATACAGGATAATAGACATGCAAGAGATCTCCCACCAAGTGTCAGGCACTGCATAAACATAGGAAAAAAATGTAAAAAAAAAACTTTTGTAACCTTTCGGGGTCACCCTGCCTTGGGGGGAGATGGCCAGGGGTTTTTAAAAAATATTATCTTTTTTTAAATGTCATAACAGAGCCCCTCTGACATTTTTAAAATTCACTTTGAATCAAAGACAATAAGGGCAAATCGTGATAACACAGCTGAAGGACTTGCTTCCCAAAAAAATCTAAATCCGGGCCCGTTCCTAAAACTCATACACATTCTTACAACTATGAATTTTTACTCCTTTTTTAGTTTTCTTAAACGTCACATTCCTTGAATAATTTGTCTGAAGACCTGCCTCTATTTTTGTTAGGGATCCTTTAGATTTTTTACAGATTCTTTTTTTTCTTGCTACATATACACTGCCAGTGTCTTATTATTTGGCTTTTAATAGTAATTTTTTGGAATTTTGTGTATAGCAGGACAAGCTTTTTTAACCAAAGAAAACATGGTCATGAATCATTTAATCTTTTGGGGTAAACGGGGGTTTTAAAGAGGACTCACCTAAAAGTCTCTGGACTCTACCACGGAAAAAGAGGAAAGGCAGACTGTGCATATTTTTGCTGGTTTTCCTGCAGCAGGAGGGGAGCAGCCTCGACCCCTGCTCTCACCTTGCTCCCAAACCAGGGCAAAAAATGGCCCCGGGCCCCTTTTGGTACCAGAGCATGTTAAGCGGGGGTGCAGGAAAAATCCCCAAATCCCTTTGTTAGTTTTAAAAATGATACCAAGAAAAAATGGCTATTAATTTGAAATTTCAATTAAAATTAATTTTTAAAATTTTTAAAATTTTAAATAATACTTTTTTACATTTTAAAAAAGATTAAAAAAAAACTGTCCAACATATTTTTTTTAAATTTTATATTGTTAGTATTAATTCTACTTTAAACTGCCCCCAAACCTTTTAAAAACTAAGGGCTTTTCCTTGTAAGGAATACACACCGTTTTTTAAACCCCTATTGGGAATGTGACCTCTGACGGGGGGTTTTAAAATTTTTCCCCACTTTCCCCACAGCCTGGCCCGGGGGCCCCCCTTTTCGGGGGCTTTCCTGATGAAAACCCGGGTGTTGGGTTGCTGATGGCCCCCCCATAACTTAATTTAAATTTTTCTTGGGAAACCCGCCCCTTAAACTCAAATTTTAAAAACCTTATACATACTTTTAAAATGGGGCTTTAAAAAATTTAATTTTTGATTTTTTGAGCTTGTTTCACAGCTTTTCATCTCTCTACTATCCACCACTTACCAAAAGCAAACTTCCAAAAAGGCAAAACACTTTTGATACAGGGTTTTTAATAAACGGGTAAGTTTAAACCCTTTTTCCCAATTCAAAAAATTGCCCTGGACTTCTGCCTCACATTATGAACTGTTAAAAATTCACAAAAGAATGTGTAAAATTTCTGTCACTTTCCCGAAAAAAGTACCCCGATGCAGTTATTTAAACCAAAGGGTTAACCCAATCAATTGGTTCATAAGATCTGTAAATACAGTAGTGGAAAAACTACTGGACCTGGTCTGAACCAGGTCATAGGGGGCACTGGGCCCCCAGAACACCTTTCCAAAAAAGATAAAAAGGGGTATTGGACTGGCACACTCCCTTTCAGTGGTGGGGCCCTTTAACCCGAATTTTAAACAAAAAAAGCCCGTAGCAACCCCGTGGCATGCAATACCACCATTCCCGTTTTCTCTTAGATTGGGAAGAG